GTGTTCCTAAAGGAACTTGCAGGTATAAGTACAAAAATGCTGTGGAACACTGAAGAGTCCTGCAAGAGTGAAAATGGGCAACTTTCCCAGTTTTAAAGTTTTAAAAAGGTAGGTCCCAAAAACTACTAACAAAATTACTTGATTTTACCAACAATACCATTAGAAGCATAGTTTCACTAAAACACTGTACAACTTAAATATCTACCATAGTTCTTAAATACAAATGTCTGACTCTTAAGTCTTCAGTCTACCTAGTAATATACTTGATGAACATAATTAGTTGTATAAAGCTGTAAAGCTGTAGTCCCCAACTCCCAGCTGTGGACTGGTACTGGTCCATGGCCTCTTAGGAACTGGGCTGCACAGCAGGAAGTGAGTGGCAGGCCAGTGAGTGAAGCTTCATCTGTATTTACAGCCACTCTCTGTAGCTAGCATCACTGCATAAGCTCCACCTCCTGTCAGATCAGCAAGGGCATATTAGATTCTCATAGGAGCGAGCACTCTAAACAGCATGCGAGGGATCTAGGTTGCATGCTCCTTAAGAGAATCTAATGCCTGATGATGTTAGGTAGAGCTGAGGCAGTGATGCTAGTGCTGGGGAGTGGCTGCATATATAGATTATCATTAGTAGAGAAGTTTGACTGCACAATAATTGTGATGTGCGTGAATCATCCCAAAGCCTCACCCTGCCACCATCTGTAGAAAAATTGTCTTCCACGAAACTGGTCCCTGGTACCAAAAAGGGTGAGAACTGCTGCTCTAAAGTGAGATGAATAACAATGCAGTGCATACATAAGTATCGAGTCAATCTCATTACCTTTTATTTTTACAGCATTGACAAACTGATAGATTATGGGGCTGAACATTCAGCAGATTATTTAATAAAGTTTCATGGCATCTCTAATTGAGGAAGGCAATATTAAGTGCCATGCTGTGCCAGCAGCAAAGAAATAAAATATCATCCCTGCCTTTAAAGTACTCATTTCTGGTGGGAAAAACAAATGAATTCTAACAATTACAATGCAATGTGCTAAGTACTATGATTGGGGAAGCAAAGGGTTTCTTGGGAGCATAGAAGAGGGATACCTAATCTGGTGAAGGGGTAGGTGGTTTTTGAGGGAATGGTCTCTTAGCAAGGGTAAATTGGAGGTGAGAATTACAGGATATGTAGGAATTTACAAATAGAATGAAGGGCATTCTAGACAGGAGGAATTGTGAGAAGAATTTGGGAAACAGGCAGTTCAAACTGACTAAAATGAAGACATCATGTTGGGATATGGCAGGAGTCCAAGCTAGAAAGAAGACATCACAAAAATCTGTCTTTTCAGTTCCACTCTAAGGAAATCAAACTTTATCCCAAAGCAGGGAAGTGTTGAACAATCAAACCAAAGAGGCTTGATTGATGGAACAAGGTTAACTTCAGAGGCATGTCTCTACTGTTAAACTATAGACCTGGGCTGGACCCAATTCTTTTTTTTTTTTTACTTTTTAAAAATTATATTTTCTCTGCTTTTTTTATATTTCTTTTTCTCTTAGGCGCCAGTTTTACAATGGATAGATGGACTCAATTCTATTCAACATTTTATTCATAACATTAATGAAGATACCTGCTTAGCTAAAGCAGATAGCCAGTTTAAGAGTCAAAGAAATCTTGACAGGCTGAAACATGATAAGACATCTTAAAAGATAAAATAACTCTATTGAGGTTAATTATAAAAAGAGTTTTATGTTGAGAAAAATGGAGCCTAGATGTCTTCTAAGATCCTTGTGCTTCTGGAATTACATGACTATTTCCAAAGAACATTGGTACGCCTTTAAATACCTACATCTTCTAATTTCTTGAAGCTCATTTACTCTGCAATAATCTCTATAAAAGTATCTAGTATACCTGAAACTTAGTAGATATTCTAATATATTTTTCTCTTTTTCTCTTCTTTTTGTTTCTCTGTGTCTTCCTCCAGTGTGATTGAAAAATATAGTCGAAAAGAGTAAAATCAAGCAAGTCAAAAGGAGAATGTTTACTTTATTCAGGAAGGATCTTCTCTTTTGACATAAACAAAATATAAGAACTACACAACATGTTTCATCAAATCTAAGACACCAATAATTGTAAGACATTGTTATGTGTCATTAAGAAAAAAATGCTGTCTAATAAAATTTAATACAATATTCGTTGTAAGATTTTCAAATTCCAGATATGTTAAAATGTGGGGGAAAAGTCGTCATAGAACTGATAAGTTACATCTTTTTGTGACTAGAAATGGTAAAGGGCCTCAACACCATGTTGGCCTTAAAAAGAGATTATTTCCTCAAACATTTTATAAGCACAAAAGGGTACATCATAATTTTATTAGGTAACCCTTTGATAGCGAAATGTTTTGTGGTTTATGGACATCTAAATGTTAGGGCTAATTTGTAGGATTATTTACCATTTGAGAAGAGAATCTGCCTAATTAAACATCTGAGCTGCAAGGTCTTTTTAAAAACTGATCAACACTATGGTGCTCACACAGTGGTAGTAATACTCCAGGGATTGGGGGATTGGGGGTGGGTAAACTCACAAGTAATGGACGTGGTGAGCATTGTAGGGGGGAAAAGCCAAACCTCAAATTGTGGTTTGGGTGTGACAAAGTCATAACATGTAACCAAAATGTTTATACTCCCATAATATACTGAAATAAATAAATAAATAAAACAAAGCAAAATTTTTTTAAAAAGCTAAAAAAATTGATTTTGGTATAGTTAGGGAGTTGGCCTTAGAGGAACCAGAACTAAAACTCAAAAGCTCATGAGTAAACCGTTTTTCATTAGGGTGTCTGGGTTCCATACAATGATTATCAACATGATTTTATTGGTAAACATTGCAATGTTTCAATGATTTGAAAGATTTTTGCAGACTAAGTTGATATGAGGGAGAGAGATGGGAGTCTAGGATGACTTTCAGGTTTCTGGCTCATGCACCTCAAGGTGGTGATGATATTCACTGAGTTAAGAATTGCAAGAGGAGGAGAGCGTGACTTGGAGGAAGATAACTGTCAGCACTTACCACCATGACTCTCACTCTCCAGCTATCTCAGGCTGGATGAGATTTGCTGTTCTCTGTACATCAAGATGGATATATATATTTCTTTTTTTTGGCAAGCGTGAAACAAAGTTTATTGAGGAAGGACAAGATAAATTTACAGAGCAAGAGCAAGATGTAGGTTTACAGAGTAAGACCAAGATACATTCGCCACACAGTGATGAACGGGCCTCTTGTTGTAACAAAAAAGCCAAGATGTAGATATTGAATCTGCATGTTGTTTCTCCATTTGTGAACAAAGGATCATAAACAATTAGAATTAGAATGGATGTTTAAAATCATTTAAGTTCATACATACCTCTTCCCCTCATTAATTCCCCAAACCAAAGTTTGAATTCCCTTCATACTCTTCCTGTGAAATGATCAGTCATGCAGATTAAATTGCGTAATCTCTCTGTCTCAATTTCCATAATTGTAAAATATAACCACCTCAGAAGATTAAATCAGATAATAGGTGTAAAACACTTATCACAGTACCAAGCAAGTGTTTAATAAACCCTTAATTTTAGCTTAAAATAACAATGTCATACAGTTTGTACCCATTGTGAAATCAATTTTAGTGTATAGTAACCAGAAATTTAAAAAAGTGAAATACATAACATGTAGTATGTGTATTTCATAAAATGTTTCCACATAAATGTGAGTATATATTATATAATTATATAGTATATAAATTTATACATTTACTGTATATTTATCGTATATAAAATTTATGTATGTGGATATATGCATATGTGTGTCCTGGGCCACAATGTGAAATGTTTTACTGGGAGTTAGGTGTAAATATTTTGAGAAACGGTGTAAGGTTAACATACATTACAGTGATTTCTGATGTTTGATGTTGAAAGCCAGACTTTTTTTTTTTTTTTTTTTTTTTGAGACAGAGTCTCACTTTGTTGCCCAGGCTAGTGTGAGTGCCATAGTGTCAGCCTAGCTCACAGCAACCTCAAACTCCTGGGCTCAAGCAATCCTCCTGCCTCAGCCTCCCAAGTAGCTGGGACTACAGGCATGTGCCACCATGCCCGGCTAATTTTTTCTATATACGTATTAGTTGGCCAATTAATTTCTTTCTCTTTATAGTAGAGACGGGGGTCTCGCTCTTGCTGAGGCTGGTTTCGAACTCCTGACCTCGAGCAATCCGTCCGCCTCGGCCTCCCAGAGAGCTAGGATTACAGGCGTGAGCCACCGCGCCCAGCCGAAAGCCAGACTTTATTTTTAAAGAGATTATCCCTCTGTTACAGCCTTGGAAACTTGAAGTACTGTATCTCTAAAATATTTTTGTTGTCAGTTCCTAACACAGTATCTGGTAAACAGAAGGAGCCAAATACATGTTGATTGAACCAGGAACAAGAAATAGTATGAAGATACACAGACTAGTGGTGCTTTTCTGGGTGATCAGACTCCTTTTGAAAAGTCGTTGAACGTTTCAGATCCTCTTTCCAGAAGTGCCAAGCACTCAATTTTGAACAGATTTCAGAGAATTCCTAATCCCCATCAATTGGCCCTCTAAGGATTCATGGACCCCTAAATTAAGGACCCTGAAAAAAAGGGTGTTTAACTTCTGACAGTGGGTGTGTGAGGTCGGGAGCAGAAGAACGTTTGGGATTAGATTACTTTTTAAATTCTCCTACAAATCCTGGAATTCTAAAACTTCTGCTTCAATTAGTGTCAAAGAGTAGTGGGGACAACTTTTACAAACGTTATGTCATTTGAATGCCATGATAATCCTGTGATGATGAAATTGACTCTCTGAGGGGTTTAGTGACTTTTCTAAGAGGACACAGCTGGTAGGCTCTGGAAAAGGGACTAGAATCAAATTTCTAAATTTCCGGAGATGAAATTGGACAGGGAAAATAGGGTGGAGGAAGGGGCGGGGCCGCGCACGCGCGCAGTTGTATTGGTGCGGACGACTCTAGGTTTCCTCCGACTCTACCCTTCCTCAGTCCAGTACGGTGGCCGGCGGGAGTCAGACGCTTGGGATGAATGAAGGCGCTGGGTGCAGGTTGCAAAGGTCTCTTCCGCTTTTCCCTCCCTCCAGTCCCGGTTCTTCCTTTGTGCGAGGTCCCCATTCTGCCCACTTCGTGTCGACGACCCGGTTGGTCTCGGCGTCTGACTTCTTGGTGCTCGAATCAACTCAGGGCACAGCTAGGGTTTGGGGATTCGGATTATCGCCTAGGCCCAACTTCGGGCCGCGCTCTCCATTTCTGCCGCGTCCCGCCTCTAGGACGCGGAATCAGGTTGGGGTTCCGTGAGGCTGGAGAGGTAGATCTTAAGGTATTGAAGCGTTTGCTTCTCAGACCTTAGCGCGTCCACGTCGGCAACCGGCCAGACTCTTCACAGCCGGAGGGACTTGTTGGTTCTTGTTACGCCTGGGGCGAGAGGTGTGAGCTCACCGGTCTTGGCGCCTCTGCTCTCTCAGCCCGCCCCTCTGTTAAAAGACCAGCTCCTCCTGCTTGAGAGCAACGCAGAATTTCTGCCCACAACCCGCGCTTCTGCTAGCCAGTCGGTCTTAAGAGGGGATGGCTTTGGCTACCTGCTCACTGCCTATTTATTTGTTTGCTTTTTGTACCTTTGATTACTCCTGAAGACAGAAGTGCCCAAGCGGGACTCTCCTTTCTCTCTCCCACAGCATCTACACATCTGTTTTTTACCCAGTAACACCGGGGACATAGGGTAGTGTTGTAGCCTCTAGAGCTTTATAGCTGGCATTGCTTATGCCCCGTAAGGTGATTTACCAGTGTTTCCATCGACTCATGGAGGGCGGGAAAAAGAAGCCCAACGCTTTTTTAGATATGTTGGGTAGGCATGTGAAACTAAAGGGGTATGGAAGAGGATCATTCCTAACAAAATTGACTGCCACACTAGGAAAAAAAATTTTTTCCTTGAGGCCAAGGTATTTTATTACGAAAATAGAATAAAAACTTCAAAAACAAAAGGATCCTTTTTAATTTAATGAAAAATTTGTTATTTTTTATTGTTTTCTGTGCGTGAGTTATATGCAACTTGAAAAATTGTTCATACGACTTCCAAGGTGAAGAGATGTGTGTTGCTTCAGGAGGCCCTGGGCTCAAAACTAGCTTGAGTTAAACACAAGGCACATGGCATTTAATGTGTTAACTATGACCATTCATTTATTTTATTTACATTTTGTGGAGCTCAAATGACTGGTATAGTGGAGAAAGACTTGGATTGGGATTTAATAGATGAGGATTCAGCCTTGGATTGTGCCACTAATTAGTAATATTACTTTGGGCCTGCTCCTTCATCTCTGGGCTTCATATTCTTTCTTTCTTTGGTAAGAGTGTTAGAGCAGAAGATTCCTAAGGCTGGGAGAGACATTAATATACTTTCTTCCTCAGTTTCCAGATGGCAGTAAAAACATAGGGAGATAGAAGCCTTGTCTTTAATAGTGCCAGGAACATTGCTAACATAGGAGCCTATTAAAAATACACTATATTTTTGAGGGTTTTTTAAAAAAGAGGGATGGTCATATATGTGGAAGTTATACCCCTACTTTCATTTGTGTTTTTACCATCAGGATCAACAGTGATAATGACTGAGTGTACAAGCCTTCAGTTTGTCAGCCCTTTTGCTTTTGAGGCAATGCAGAAAGTGGATGTTGTTCGCCTGGCATCTTTAAGCGATCCAGAATTGAGACTTCTCCTGCCTTGTTTGGTGCGAATGGCACTTTGTGCTCCTGCTGACCAGAGTCAAAGCTGGGCTCAGGATAAAAAACTTATCCTTCGTCTTCTCTCTGGTGTGGAAGCTGTCAACTCCATTGTTGCATTGTTGTCTGTGGACTTTCATGCTTTAGAACAGGATGCCAGCAAAGAACAGCAGCTTAGGTAATGTTATGTTATATACTATATGGATTGGGATTTACCTAGATTTGTCAAAGAAGAGGGAATCTGATGTTTTTCTGAGCTTTCAGAGCTCCTCCAGAAAAGACAGAATGAGAGTATGAACTCTAGAGAGCATTTTACTTTAATCATCTCTATTTATGGTTGAAGTTCTAGGATCTTTTGAATTCTGTTTTATAACATGTGTAGAGAAGTTTGGCCATGTACTATTGTATTCTGGCTAAACTAATTAGGCCAGTTACTCTCAGTGGAAAGTGGATAGGGTAACTTCTCTTAGATTAGAGAGATTTATTGGAATCACTTAGGAGACTTTTTTTTTTAACTTTTACATTGATTCCCAAAAAGTCTGGGCAGATGTTATATGCTTCCCTGCCCATTGTGAATCCAATAGTAAGCCACTATTGTTAATAGAAGTGGGTGTTAGCTCTCAGTTGTGATGGTATCTTTACAAAGGGTATGAATCCCTGAAAGAGGCAAGCTAGTATTTCAGAAGTAATAGAGAACATTTGGAATTTATACATTCTTTTGTAGATTATTCAATAGAAGATAATTTTTATGTAATTATTTCCGTACCAGTCTTCTCATAATTGTTGTTTTTATGTGTTTGTACTTCATTAGGCATAAACTTGGAGGAGGCAGTGGAGAGAGCATCCTGGTATCACAGCTTCAGCATGGACTGACATTAGAGTTTGAACACAGTGATTCACCTCGTCGATTGCGTCTAGTGCTTAGTGAACTGTTGGCAATTATGAACAAGGTACATTTCTTTTCTTTCTTTTTTTTTTTTTTGAAACAGAGTCTCACTTTGTCGCCCAGGCTAGAGTGAGTGCCATGGTGTCAGCCTAGCTCACAGCAACCTCAAACTCCTGGGCTCAAGCGATCCTACTGCCTCAGCCTCCCAAGTAGCTGGGACTACAGGCATGCGCCACCATGCCCGGCTAATTTTTTCTATATATATCAGTTGGCCAGTTAACTTCTTTCTATTTATGGTAGAGACGGGGTCTCGCTCTTGCTTAGGCTAGTCTCGAACTCCTGAGCTCAAATGATCCACCCGCCTTGGCCTCCCAGAGAGCTAGGATTACAGGCGTGAGCCACCACGCCCGGCCCATTTCTTTTAATCATAACTTAAAGTATGCATGATTTGATGTCTACATATAGAAGAGTAGACAAGAATTTTAAAGGCAGGCAAGTTGAATCCTCTTCTACTTGTATTATTAATTTGATATGTGTTTTCCTTTCAAAGGCTGAAAGGATATTAAAAGCCTGGCTTAAAGGTTTTCTTTCTCTATTACTTCCTCTAATTACTCTCATTTATGCCTATTCTGCCTTCTCTATGATAGGGATTTTTTTCTGTTTGGGGTCCATACAATGGCTTCTTAACATTTAGAAGGGAATTTATCTCAAGACTTGTACAATTTACTAAATTTGATAAGATCTTTATAGGATATAATTTCTCCCATAAAATAATGAAGTATAACTAAAAAATACATGTGATTCATTTAGACACTGGATTAGCATTAACTATCTTTTTTTTTTTTTTTTTTTTTGAGACAAGAGTCTGTTGCCCACGCTAGAGTGCTGTGGTGTCAGCCTCGCTCACAGCAACCTCAAACTCCTGGGCTCAAGCAATCCTACTGCCTCAGCCTCCCAAGTAGCTGGGACTACAGGCATGCACCACCATGCCCGGCTAATTTTTTCTATATATTTTTAGTTGTCCAGCTAATTTCATTCTGTTTTTAGTAGAGATGGGGTCTTGCTCTTACTCAGGCTGGTCTCGAACTCCTGAGCTCAAATGATCCGCCTGCCTTGGCCCCCTATAGTGCTAGGATTTACAGGCTTGAGCCACCTCACCCGGCTGGCATTAACTATCTTATATGTGACAGTGAATAGGGAGTATCAATATCAAATTGGATACAGGATGATTGGCTAGACTCGCTTACTAAGTGACTGAATTGCTTCTGTATACTGATGAAGGCTATTCAAGTTCTCAGTAAAATTATAGATTACTTTAGCATGGATCTTTGGGTAATTATGGTTAATTAAAACTCTGAATTTTAAATTTGTGAATGTCAAGGGTCTTATCATACAAAGAACTAAGTTGAGTCTTCCTATTAAAATGACTTATATGAGATTAGGCCCAGAATTTCAGAGGCAATAGTTACTTACTGTTGGAATTTTGGGGTCAATTAATTTATAGTAAATACAGTTTAGGTTGTTTATTTTGAGACAGGGTCTTGCTCTGTTGCCCTAGGCAGGAGTGCAGTGGTATCATCATTGCTCACTGCAGCCTTGAACTCCTCAGCTCAAGGGATCCTCCCATCTCAGCCTCCTGAGTAGCTAGGAGTATAGATAGAAACATACCACCATGCCTGGCTAATTGTTTTTTGTAGAGATGAGATATTGCTATATTGCCCAGGCTAGTCTCAAACTCCTGGCCTTACGGAATCCTCTTGCCTCAGCCTCCCAAAGAGTTGAGATTATAGGCATGAGCTGCTGTGCCCAGCCTACTTGTATAAATTGTGGACATAAAAGACTAAATTCTGTTTCCAAAGAAAATACTGGTAGCAGGATTTTAGCCAGTTTTAGGTAAAGTTTTTATCTTATATTACAAATCTTTGTAAAATTTTTTTCTATCACAAATAATAATTTCCTTTTTTCTATTATACTGATACTTTTAATTTTCAACCAAAATTTTTCCTACATCTTTTTCTTAGTACCTCTAATAAAATAAGTGACCTTTCTCTTCTGGGAGGTTTCTAATTTTTCAGTGTTGCATTCTTTATTATGTGGGAAATATGGTGATGAAACTGCTGTAGGAAATTTTCAAAAAAGTTAGTAAGTAGTTTTGTTGATCTAAGTTTTAATTTGTTGTTTTTCTAACAGTTCATTTAGAATTGAACATGAATTTATATTTGTTATACTGGCTTTAAGTTTATAGTTTTTTTGGCTTTTCTTAAGTGACATCTTATGTAGGTAGCATTCCTAGTTCATTTGTTTGGCTTGCCTTATCTTTTTTAATTCTAGATCTCTCCAAATATTTAGATAGAAATCAATTCTTGAAACTAATACTGCCATATCTGAATGTGACTGCTACTTGTGGTCAAATGGTTGAAATGGATCAAATACTGCATATTCTGCTGTAGTGTATTAGTGACATTAAGAGACACAGTCTGTGAGCTCAACAAATAATGACAAAAATAGTTAAGAAGTTAATTTATTACCTGAAATTAATAGACTTCATGTATTTTTTCTTTCTTTTTTTTAAGGTATCTGAGTCCAATGGAGAATTTTTTTTCAAGTCTTCTGAGCTGTTTGAAAGTCCAGTCTATTTGGAGGAAGCCGCAGATGTACTTTGTATTTTACAAGCAGGTACTGTACTAAGTGCTAAGATACATTTCATATACACTTTCTTGTTAAATGATACTATGTACTACTTAGCCTGGAATATTGTGTTATTTTAAGGATCATCTAATAAGCATGTATTTTAAAAGAGTAAGTAAAAAATGACCAATAGTAGGGCAATGATTAAGTAAATTATGTAATTTCCATAGTGTGGAATATTATACAGGCATTAAAATGATATATTTGATTTAATGATTCTAATGCTTGTTAATGATTTTGGAAAATGTTTAAAGTATGCTAAATGAAAAGCAAACAGCAAAATGGTAAGTAGAATATAATCCCAGTTTTGTTAAAAGCAAAAAATAATACCTTTGGGGAATTAAAATATTTTACATTATTGACTTTGAGTGATGGAATCAGAGCTGATTTTATTTTACTTCTTTCTTCTTTTTTTTTTTTAAATAGCTAAATAAATCTTTAATATTTCTAATTGCAAATGTACAGAAATTGCACAGCCACACGGAATCTCAGAACACCAACAACTTTCTCTGTACATTATTACATAGTTAAAAGTCACAGCTGGAGGGAGGAGCTCCAGCCAAACTCCAACGTTTGCATTTTTTTATATTTTACTTCTTTCTACATTTTTGTATTTTCCAAATTCTTTATAATAGGTATGTATGATAGGAATAAAAGAGGACATAAAAGTACAGAAATTTTCATGAAGCTCTTTAGATCAGCACTGTCTGATAAAACTTTCTACAGTGTTCTATGTTATGCTCTCCAGTATAGTAGCCACTACCCACACATAGCTATAGATTACTTGAAATGTGGCTAGTGTGACTGAGGAACTGAACTATTTTAATATTATTTAATTAAAATACTCTGATTGCTTTAAGATGACATATGTAGAATGCCAAAAGATGTTTAATATATAAAACAATGAAATACCACTTTTTAATAGTAACACTGACTTTGTTTTCTCATAGAGCTCCCTTCCTTGCTCCCTATAGTTGACGTAGCTGAAGCCTTGCTACATGTTAGAAATGGTGCCTGGTTCTTGTGTCTGTTGGTGGCCAATGTTCCTGATAGTTTTAATGAAGGTAAATATAATTTTAGAAATGGGATATTGAAGAGGTTTGCTTGGGCATGTGCAGAATCTATTTTTTTGAGCTAAGAGGAAACATTTATGGGATTTTATTTGAGATTTTATCTTTTAAAAGTTTATTAGTGAAGACTTATAGAAATATTGAGTTTAGAGATTTAAAAATTGGTATTGACATTGCAAATTTAATTACAGTATGTAGCAAAGAAAAATTTTTTGCCATTAGTCAACAGTGCTATAATATGACAGTATAAAATGCCAAGAAACTAGAAGATGTAATCTCTGTGCTCAGGGAGCAAAGGGAAGGAGACATACATCTGTGAAAGAGCCAGAAGGCAATATTAGATATGTGTAATCAGAAATACCAGCAATCAGACCATTGGTAAGCCTTATTGTTGTTAGTTTACGTAAAAGTATAGGGTAGGAATTGAGAAAAATCGACTAAAATTTTTGATGTCTATTGCAAACTTGTAGTGATTGAAGATTGTTGTTTGGGTATGGGTGATATAAAAATAAAAACAGCATTTGTTGAGCAAGGTGATTTGTGAATTTGGAGCTGGGGTCAGGGGTGTGGGGGGAAGCCCTGGATCTGGGGTTATAATTCTTGACTTTGTCACTTACTGTGTGATCTCCATCAAGATACTTAACTTCTCAACTGTTAAATGGAGATATTGATAATAATATTGCTGTTACTTTGCTAAGAGATTTACTGAAGATCACATGATATGTAAAAGCTCTTTGTAAACTGTGTCCCAGCTGATTTTCTGTCAGCTTGTTCTGTCAGAGAGGAGTGTTGATGACTCTAAATGTGATTGCGGATTTGTCTGTTTTTCCTTTTAGTTCTGGGAGTTTTTACTTCATGTAATTTGTTTTTTCGTTTTGTTTTGTGTTTTTTTGAGACAGAGTCTCACCTTGTTGCCCAGGCTAGAGTGAGTGCTGTGGCGTCAGCCTAGCTAACAGCAACCTCAAACTCCTGGGCTCAAGTGATCCTCCTGCCTCAGCCTACCGAGTAGCTGGGACTACAGGCATGTGCCACCATGCCCAGCTAGTTTTTTCTATATATGTTAGTTGGCCAATTAATTTCTTTCTATTTATAGTAGAGATGGGGTCTCACTCTTGCTCAGGCTGGTTTTGAACTCCTGACCTTGAGCAATCTGCCCACCTCGGCCTCCCAGAGAGGTAGGATTACAGGTGTGGGCCACCGCGCCCAGCCTACTTCATGTAATTTGAAGTCCTGTTATTGGGGTTGTGTGTATTTTTTTTATTTTTTTTTTTTTTGGAGATAGAGTCTCGCTTTGTTGCCCAGGCTAGAGTGAGTGCTATGGCGTCAGCCTAGCTCACAGCAACCTCAAACTCTTGGGCTCAAGCAATCCTGCTGCCTCAGCCTCCTGAGTAGCTGGGACTACAGGCATGTGCCACCATGCCTGGCTAATTTTTTCCATATGTATTAGTTGGCCAATTAATTTTTTTCTATTTATAGTAGAGCTCAGGCTGGTTTTGAACTCCTGACCTTGAGCGATCCGCCCGCCTGGGCCTCCCAGAGTGTTAGGATTACAGGCGTGAGCCACTGCATCCGGCCGGGGTTGTGTGTATTTAGGATTGTTAAATCTTTTTGATGAATAGAGCCTTTTTTCCCCACTATGAAATACACTTCTTTATTCCTACTAATATTCCTTCTTTTGAAGTGGGTCTACTTTATCTGACAAATATAGCCATGTCATCTTTCTTTTTTTTTTTTTTTTTTTTTTGAGACAGAGTCTCACTCTGTTGCCCAGGCTAGAGTGAGTGCTATGGCGTCAGCCTAGCTCACAGCAACCTCAAACTCTTGGGCTCAAGCAATCCTGCTGCCTCAGCCTCCTGAGTAGCTGGGACTACAGGCATGTGCCACCATGCCCAGCTAAGTTTTTTCTATATATGTTAGTTGGCCAATTAATTTCTTTCTATTTATAGTAGAGACGGGGTCTCGCTCTTGCTCAGGCTGGTTTCGAACTCCTGACCTCGAGCAATCCGCCCGCCTCAGCCTCCCAGAGTGCTAGGATTACAGGCGTGAGCCACCGCGCCCGGCTTGTATCTTTATATTTAAGATGGATTTCTTGTGGACAGGTATAGGTGGGTCTTGTTTGTTTTAATCTAGTGACAGTCTCTGTCATTTAATGGAATTTTAGCCCATATACATAGACCATTTAATGTAATTATTGTGATAGTTTTAAGTCTATAACCTTGTTATTTGTTCCCTTTTTCCTCTTATTCTTTGTGCCATTGTCATAAATTTTACTTCTACATGTATTATAAACCTTAGAGTTACTTTGCTAAGAGATTATTATTTGTTTAATAAAGTAACCTTAGAGTTACTTCGTTAAGAGATTATTACATTGTTATTACTTTTGCTTTAAATAGTTAAGTATATTAATATTTTAAAGATATTTATATTTTATTATAATTTATATTAATTATTTCTATCTGATATAATTTCCCCTTAGTTTAACAAACTTCCTTCTTTTTCTTTTTTTGAAATGGGGTTTCACTGTGTTGCCCAGGCTGGTCTCGAACTTCCTGGCTTGATTGAACAGGACTCCTGCCTTAACCTGTTGAATAGCTGAGATTGCAGGTGCATGCTGCTGTGCCCAGCTCACCTTCATTTTTTGTTGGCAACAAATTTTCTCAGCTTTTTTGGTCTGGAAAAACCCTCGTTTTTGAAAGATATATTCATTGGACATAAAAATTTTAGAATGACATTTTCTTTTGTCTGTTTAAAGATGTCATTCTGTTGTCTGTTCTGTTGTGACTTTTATCTCTGTTCGTCTATAATGTTTCTTTTTTCCTCTGTCTACTTTTGTTTATTTTTTTATTTCCTCTGGCTACTGTTAAGATTTTCTCTTTATCACTACTTTTCAGAAATTTGATTATGATGTATCTTAGTATGATTTTCTTTGTGTTTGTCCTGCTTGGGGTTAATTGAGCATCTGGGTTTATAGTTTTCATTAAATTTGGGAAAATTTCTTCACATTTAATTTTGTCTTTTGCTCCTTTATCTTTCTGGGACTGTAATTGCAAGTGTGTTTGTGGGCTTTTGTCCCACAAGTTACTATTCATTTTTTAAGTCTCGTCATTCTTTGCTTCATTTTGACCAGTTTGTGTTGTGATGTTTTCAGGTTCCTTGATCTTTTTCTTCTGTAGTGTCTATTCTGCATAAATGATTAATTCTCAAGGCTGAACAAAATGGTTTCTATTATCTTAGTTTGTAGGGGCCTGATTAAAAATGGAGAAAGACAAGATGAAGAAAGCCTTGGAGGAAGGCGCAGGACAGATGCCTTACGCTTCTTGTGTAAAATGAATCCCTCTCAGGCCCTCAAGGTCCGAGGCATGGTGGTAAGAGATCCTATTGTTTTTTGAGGCAAAGGCCTTTATATTAGGACTTAGAACTATTCTTAAAATGGTTTTGGAATCTTGTTGAGGTTTGGAATTTTAATTGCATACTGGATGTATTACCTTCCTTTGGGTTTTTATGTTTTTTGTGAGATCTCTTCTTCTAAACTTTAGCTACTTTAGATTTTGAAGCATCCTGGCCCATTTCCTTATGATACTGAATTTAGTTTGTTTTCTTTGCTGTGTTAGGTGGAAGAGTGTCACTTGCCAGGCCTTGGTGTGGCTTTGACATTGGATCATACTAAAAATGAAGCTTGTGAAGATGGAGTGAGCGACTTGGTTTGTTTTGTTAGTGGTTTGCTTCTTGGAACAAATGCAAAAGTCCGGACTTGGTTTGGAACTTTTATCCGAAATGGACAGCAGGTGAGGGTTATGTATCTGTATAGGCTAAGGATCAGGATATTTTGGTAATTACTAAAAGAGGAAGAAACACTTTTAAAATGATGTCATTAGATAAGCAATTCTCAAACTTTGTAGTTTCAGGGACCTCTTTACATTTTTAAAAATCACTGAAGATACCATAGAGTTTTCATTTATGTAACTTGTTTCTATTGATATTTACCATGTTAAAAACTAAAACTGAACATTTTGAAATATTTAGTTAATTTAGAAATAACAACAACTGGGCATGGTGGTATGCACCTGTAGTCATGGCTACTTGGGAGGCTGAGGCAGGAGGATCACTTGAGACTAGGAGTGCGAGGCTATAATGTGCCTATAAATAGCCGTTGTACTTCAGCCTGACCAACATAGTGAGACCCTGTTTCTAAAAAATAAAAATAAAAACAACCCTATTAAATGTGCATATAACATGTTTTTAATGAACAGTAACTGTATTTTGCCGAACAAAAAACATTTAGTGAGAAGAATGACATTGTTTTATAACATTTTTTTTCAAATCTCTTCAATGTCTGGTTTGATAGAAGCCTTTAGAAAACTGCACTATATACTGTGAGTGAATGAGAGAGAAAAAGGCAGATAATGTCTTAGTATTATTAAAGCAATATTAAAGAAATATTTTTGCCTTCTGGAACCCCTGAAAGAGTCCTGGAAATCTCTAGCATTCTGTGTTCATAAGAACTGCTGTTAGGTCATCAAAATAAGTTGTTATTGGCCAGTGCGGTGGCTCACGCCTGTAATCCTAGCACTCTGGGAGGCTGAGGCAAGAGGATTGCTAGAGGTCAGGAGTTCAAAACCAGCCTGAGCAAGAGTGAGACCCCATCTCTACTATAAATAGAAAGAAATTAATTGGCCAACTAATATATATAGAAAAAAAAATTAGCCAGGCATGGTCATACATGCTTGTAGTCCCAGCTACTCAGGAGGCTGAGGCAGTAGGATCACTTGAGCCCAGGAGTTTGAGGTTGCTGTGAGCCAGGCTGACACCATAGCACTCACTCTAGCCTGGGCAACAAAGCGAGACTCTGTCTCCAAAAAAAAAAAAAAAAAAGTTGTTGTTATATTCTGTGATTTTAATATATATGTATATATATTTTTATTGTGGTAAAATACACATAACATAAAATTTGCCATTTAATCATTTTTTTGGGAGTTGGATAGGGTCTCACTCTGTTATCTGAGCTAGAGTATGGTGGTATCATCATAGCTCACTGCAGCCTCAGACTCCTGGGCTCAAGTGATTCTCTTGGCTCAGGCCCCCAGTAGCTTGGAGTACTAACACATACCGCTACATGTGGCTGATTTTCCTATTTTTTGTAGAGGCAGGGTCTTGCTGTGTTGCTCAGGCTGGTCTCAAACTCCTGGCCTCAAATGATGCTCTTGCCTCAGCCTTCCAAAGTGCTAGGATTACATGCATGAGCCACCACACCCAGCCCATTTAATCGTTTTAAGTGTACAATTCAATGTCATTAAGTACATTCACAATGTGCAACCAGCATCACTATTGATTTCCAGAACTTTTTCATCATCCAAAGAGAAACTCTGTACCCATTAAACAATAATTCCCCATTCCTCCTCTCCTTCCACCTCTGATAACCTCTGTTCTACTTTCTGTCTCTGAATTTATTCATTCTAGGTACTTAATATAAGTGGAATTATACAACATTTCTGCTTTTATGTCTGGCTTATTTCAGTTAACATGTTTTCATGGTTCATCCATGTTGTGGCATGTTATCAGAATTTCCTTACTTTTTAAAGGCTAAATAATATTCCATTGTGTATGTATACCACATTTTGTTTATCCATTCATCTGCTGATGGATATATGTTATATTTTGCAATAAGTTTTTTTTTTTGAGAGTCTCAGTCTATCACCCAGGATAGAGTGTAGTGGCATCATCGTAGCTCACTGCAACCTCAAACTCCTAGGCTTAAGTGATTGTCCTGCCTCAGCCTCCTGAGTAGGTAGGACTACAGATGCGCACCATGATGCCCGGCTAATTTTTCTATCTTTAGTAGAGATGGGGTCTTGCTCTTGCTGAGGATGATCTGAGCTGACGCAGTCCTCCTGCCTTGGCATCCCAGAATGTTAGGATTACATGTGTGAACCACCCCGCCCAGCCATTTTGCAATAGTTTTTAACTTGTAAAATATTTTAGTTTTCAAAAAAAAATTTTTGTAGTAACTGTGTGAATAGAGTTCTTATGAAGATTGTGTTTTAACTTGTTCACGTAACTCACTAGATAGCATGTGTACTGTGTAGGTCCTCCAGTCTGTTTTTTATACTACTGAATTGCCATATTTTTAATATCCAAATTCTACTTTATAGCCCATTTGAAAACCGATTTTAAGCTTTTCTTTTTTTTTTTTTTTTTTTTTTTGAGATAGGGTCTTGCTCTGTTGCCCTGCCTAGGATGCAGTGGTATGATTATAGCCAACTGCAGCCTCCAACTCCTGGGCTCAAGTGATCCTTCTGCCTCAGCCTCCCGAGTAGCTGGGACTACTGGAGTGCACTACCATGTCCAGCTAATTTATTTTTTAGTTTTTGTAGAGACAGAGTCTCTCTGTGTTGCTCAGGCTGGTCTCGAAGTCCTGGCCTTAAGCAGTCTTCCTGCCTTGGCCTCCCAAAGTGTTTGGATTATAGGTGTAAGCCATCATGCCTGGTCATGCTTTGCTTTTTAAAAGGAAGTTAACAGTGTTTGTATGCTTTATATATTTTAGGCACTGTGCTAAACACTTGCATTCTCATCTTGTTTCTAATTGTCCTTTGTAGGCAACAAACTTTTTCTTTGAACTTACTGTATTATTAAAGCAGGTTTATCATATTTTACTTGGTAACACACTAAAGATATGAATTAACTGACATTTGCTTAGCTCTTTATAGTTTAGCACCGCTAAACTATAGATATGTATTATTTGTAATACATATAGATACATATAATAAACACAATACATATCTCTAATGCATATAATACGTAACAAAGATATGTATTATGTTTGTTCATTCATTTGTCTACTTAGACATTTAATGCTTGCTTTTATGTCAGGCACAATGTTAGGCTCTGTTGACTAAGACATTATCCCTGCCTGAAGAACTTTGGGGGTTATAGACTTGTAAACTCTTAATTACAAGAGTTCTGTAAGGCAAATATTATTATCATCCTTTTTGTTGTTTTTGAGACAGGGTCTTGCTGTGTTGCCCAGGCTGATCTTTAACTTCTGGCCTCCAGTGGTCCTCCCATCTTAAATATTAATAAATATTTATTTCCTTGTCATGAAGGAAATTGGGGTTCAGAGAAGTTAACTAATGTACCTAAATGTACATAATCATATAATAGATCTGGAGTATAAATCCAGGATCTTCTGTCTCTAAAATTTGAGCAGTTTCTTCTATACCACATATCATTCTGTTGGATTTTATGTATTTAGAAGTACCATTTAAACAATCTACAGTTCAAGTTTTCATAATTTAGTCTTTTCTCTGCAACCAATACAAATTAGGGTCAGTATTCTTCGAACAAACCAATGGATTTTGAGTTTGCTTGATTGGTTAAAATGACATTCTATAGTCATGAAAACCTCTTCAAATAGGTAAATTTCAAATGTTTAAATGGGGAGCTGTGTTTGAGCTCCCTTTTAATTTAGTAAATGCTCCATGCTTTCTTTTGTGATCCATATTTCTTACAGAGAAAAAGAGAGACCAGCAGTTCTGTCCTTTGGCAGATGAGAAGGCAGCTTCTTCTGGAATTGATGGGCATTCTTCCCACAGTAAGAAGTACCCGAATTGTGGAAGAAGCTGATGTGGACGTGGAACCCAATTTGTCTGTGTATTCGGGGCTGAAAGAAGAGCATGTTGTGAAAGCCAGTGCACTCTTACGTCTGTACTGTGCTTTGATGGGGATCGCTGGACTCAAGTATTCAATAGTTTGATATTTTACCTTTTGTCATTTTACTTTCTTGTTTCTAATCCCAAGAAAGTGAGCCAAAGGCCTTTTATTCAGAGGATTTAGGCGTTCTATTAGGCTCAGGTAGTGGGCTGGCATATAGCAAGAATGAAGTCCTAAGGCCAAGCATTCGTAGCAGGGATGTATTCATCTAAATTTTTTGATTATAAATAGAATTGTGTAAATATGGGAGACGCCAGAGCAGTTTTTCAATTTCTAATCACAGTGTGAAGACCAATGATTTCCTTACAGCTTGACAAAACTATAGTGAATGATCTGTGAGTGATCCTTTACTTGGCCCATTCAACTATTTGATATAAATCTTTCCTATGTTTCCTTTTATAAGCTGAGATCATAAATTGTCTAAAATTGATAATGATGTGATTATTAAGCACAGTGTTTCTTGTGTAGTCACTAAACACCATCCTTTTGAGTAATGTTCTACAGTCCTCACTTTGCAAGTCTCTGATATGCATGAATTTCAGTTACCACAATTTAAATAATACTGATCCCTCAATATGGTCCAAATTTCAGTTACATGATACATTAACCAAATAACTGTATAAAGTACAAACTTTGCTATGAGGTCTTCAAGCCACATATCACTATGTAAATAACAGATGCACGTTAACGATCAATGACCATGGACATCACTTCTTTTAGAGTCTGCTGATGACTGGTCACTGTACATCTGTTATTCAATTCATGCACATACAGCAAAGTAGGTAGCTGTACCGTTTGAGTATCCCTTATCCAAAATGTTTGGGTCCAGGAGTGTTTTGGATTTTGGAATATTTGCATTATATTTACAGGTTGAGAATCCCTAATCTGGAAATCTGGACTCTATAATATTCCATTGAGCATTTCCTTTGAGTGTTGTGTTGGCTGAGGTGCAGATTTTAGAGCATTTCAGGGTTTGGATTTTCACATTGGGAATACTCAACCTGTGTTGCCTCCTTTTCTCTCAGTGACAAACCTATGTAACATTTTATAAAAATGGGTAATTGAAAGAGGAAATTGGCCAATAAAGCTGAAAATGTAGCAAAGAAACAAAAAGTGGTAATGCTGAAAATGACATTTGAACCAAAAATAAATTGAAGAAATAGCTGACTATGAAAATGTTGAAACTGCTGCCATTTGAGAGACCTTAGATATATAGCCAGAGGAACTGTTGAAGGTGAACTTGTTGACATAAATGAAAAAAGTGATTGTGACAAAAGGATGAAGATGTCTCAGAGGATATGATGCTGTCAAAAATCCTCACACTAATGGAACTTTCCTGACTGAAAGTGCAAAAGATAAAATGTTGGAAGCTAATCCAAACTTAGGCAGTTTGATACTTCACCAAGGTATAGAAAAGATGCTCCATATTATACGTCATACAATGAAAGACGACAGCAAAAGGTGTTCAAGCTACTCTGATAAAGTTTTTATAAAGAAGTAAAACACTTTTGGCCAGGCGAGGTAGCTCAAGCCTGTAATCCTAGCACTTTGGGAGGCCGAGGCGGGCGGATTGCTTGAGGTCAGGAGTTCGAAACCAGCCTGAGCAAGAGCGAGACCCCGTCTCTACTATAAATAGAAAGGAATTAATTGGCCAACTAATATATATAGAAAAAATTAGCCGGGCATGGTGGCACATGCCTGTAGTCCCAGCTACTTGGGAGGCTGAGGCAGAAGGATTGCTTGAGCCCAGGAGATTGAGGTTGCTGTGAGCTAGGCTGACGCCACAGCACTCACTCTAGACTGGGCAACAGAGTGAGACTCTGTCTCAAAAAAAAAAAAAAGTAAACCACTTTAATTCTTAATGTTTCTGATATTTTCAATTAGAGTACTATAAAATACTAGTTTTATAGTAGTTTTTAAAAAAATTTCCATAACTGACAGAATTTTTAAAGTTTTGACAAAAAATTTTAAAGGTCACAATATAATTATAATTTTCACCATTGATTAACTTCATGTTGCTTGGTTTCAGCTTGCAGGGTCAATTTCTGTTGTCTCACGTTACGGGACAAAGTGAGAATACAAATACAGGATAAAATACTGCCTGTGTTTGTATCTGAGGAAAAACACTGTAGTTGTAATCTCTCACTGGTTTTACTTTTAACAAGATGTTAAAGATTTTATAAATAATGAGATATCATTATAAAGTTTAAAATTTGTATCTAAAAGGTTAAAAATTTGCTTTTTCTTACTCCTTTCCCCAACTAAAAAAAGTAAAGCCTAATACTGTATTCTTTTTTAGACCAACTGAAGAAGAAGCTGAACAGTTACTACAGTTGATGACAAGCCGTCCTCCTGCTACACCAGCTGGGGTTCGCTTTGTTTCACTTTCCTTTTGTATGCTACTGGCCTTTTCTACACTTGTCAGGTACCTAGCTATATAAGTTGCTCTATTTTCTTAAGGTCTGCTTTATTTACTTATTTGTTTTTTCATATTTTTTATTTATTATTAATTATTTTGAAAAATATATATATTTTAATTTTATTTATTTATTTTTATTTTTTATTTTTTTCTAACTGCACATTTCTAAGCTGAAGAAAAACATATTTTTCTTTACTTTTTTTTTTTTTATTCTACAAATGTCTTTAAATATTTACTTATTAAAATGCATGTGTAGGCTGGGCGTGGTGGCTCACGCCTGTAATCCTAGCACTCTGGGAGGCCGAGGCGGGATTGCTCGAGGTCAGGAGTTTGAAACCAGCTGAGCAAGAACAAAGCGAGACTCTGTCTCAAAATAAAATAAAATAAAATAAAATAAAATAAAATGCATGTATAACATTGGATTCAGAGCTTACTGCAAAAATTGGCATACATATGGATAGTCATAGTATATTTTAATAAAAAGATGTCAGTAGCATCTACTGTATGCCATTTATCTTATTTTATCAAATGTTTATCAAAGTTTCATATGTACATTGTTTAAAAGAGTCAGAATAGTTCTTCAACATTTGTTAAGCCTGATAGCAGTCCTTACTTCCCTGCTCCTTATTTCTGCTTCCCTAGTGGCAGTGTCTTTAGTTGTTTTAGCTGATTCTTTTGGCTGTTGCTATTGCATCTTTATTTATTTATTTTTTTGAGACAGAGTCTCGCTTTGTTGCCCAGGCTAGAGTGAGTGCCGTGGTATCAGCCTAGCTCACAGTAACCTCAAACTCCTGGGCTCAAGCGATCCTGCTGCCTCAGCCTCTCGAGTAACTAAGACTACAGGCATGCGCCACCATGCCCAGCTAATTTTTTTCTATATATATATTAGTTGGCCAATTAATTTCTTTCTATTTATAGTAGAGACGGAGTCTCGCTCTTGCTCAGGCTGGTTTCGAACTCCTGACCTCTAGCAATCCTCCCGCCTCGGCCTCCCACAGTGCTAGGATTATATGTGTGAGCCACCGCGCCCGGCCGCTATTGCATCTTTAATAGCATGCTTGTATTTGATACATCTTGAGCTTTTGTTTGTAGGTGTTATTTATTGAGTTCCTACTATGAGAGATTAGAAATTAGTTCTTTCTTCTTTAAGAGACAGGATCTGGCTGTTCTGCCTAGGCTGGAGTGCAGGGGAGTGATCATAGCTCTCTGCAGCCTTGAACTCCTGGGCTCAGGCAGTCCTCCTGCCTCACCTTCTCAAAGTGCTGGGATTATAAGCGTGAGCCACCAAACCCAGCCTGTTTTTTGTTTTTAATCTGCTTGGTGTTCCATGTATCATTAATGCAGCCTCAAACTCTCTGACAATCTAAATCTTCTCTCAAGATGGTCTGACTCATTAGGTGACATTTCATCTTTCCAAGGAAATCTCACCTGTAGCATTTTTAACTGCTCCAGTCTGCAGTTATACCTGATGGTACACAACTCTCATCCTGGCTCTTCACCATCATTTTGGGGACATACTTCACCTCTCCTTTGTTGGCCTGTTTCCTGTATCTTGTGTCTCCATCTTTTTTCATTTGCTCTCATTTTGCTTCTTTAGAATGGGTATGTGTGAGGTAAATTCTTTTGAGCATTGAGTATTCCTGAAAATGTCTTTTTTCTACTCTGGCAATTGACTGATGGTTTGATAAAGTGTAGAATTCTAAGTTGTTTGTAATTTCCTTTGAGAACTTTGAAAGTGTTGCTGCATTGTCTTCTAACTTCCAGTGTTGTAGAGAAGTCTGACATTCTGATTCCTGGTTCTTTTTGTGGCCTATTCTTTTTTTTAATATGGAAACTGGTAGGATTAACTTTTTGTCTTTAGGGTTTTGAGATTTCTGGATGATATGCCTTCCTCTGAGTGTGTTGTTGTCTATTGTTCCAGGTATTTGGTAAGCCCCTTTAACCTAGGAACTCATATGTCCTTCAATTCTAGGGAATTTTCTTGAATTAATTTGTTGGTAATGTCTTCCCCTTGGTTGCTTTGTGTTTAAAATTTCCTTTTATTTGGAATTGGACTTTTTGAAATGATCATCTTTTCTTACACTTTCTTCTTTTCTTTACCTTTGTTTTGTTCTATTTTTTAATAAAAAGCTTTATTGAGTATAAATTATGTACCATAAAATTTACCCAAAGTGTACAATATAATGGTTTTTAGTATATTTACAGAGTTATATAGCTATCAGCATAATCTAATTTTAAAACATTTTCATCACTCCAAAAAGAAACTGCTGATTCCACCTTTTAGGATTTGTCCTTTATCTTCAAATCCTATTCAGTGTTTAATTTCTAAGAGATTTTTTTTTTGTTCTCCAAATGTTTCTTTATAATGTCTGTTGCTTCGTAGAGACATGATTTCTTTGATGTTAATCATAATGATTGAAGGGATTTTATTTGTATTACCTTTCTTTGGCCTTTTTTTTTTTTTTGGTCTCTATTCTTCTTATTTCATTTTATTTTTATTATTTATTTTTTTTTTGAGAGCAGAGTCCGCTCCTTGTTGCCAGGCTAGGAGTTGACGCTGGCCGTGCGTCCAGCCTAGCTCACAGCAACCTCCAACTCCTGGGCTCGAGTGATCTCTTCTGCTCAGCCTCCCGAGTAGCTGGGACTACAGGCATGCGCCACCATGCCCGGCTAATTTTTTTTATATATATATCAGTTGGCCAATTAATTCTTTCCTATCTTTTATATAGAAGACGGGGTCTCGTCAGGCTGGTTTTGAACTCCTGCCTTGAGCACTCGCCGCCCGGCCTCGCCCAAGAGCTAGATTACAGGCGTGAGCCACAGCGCCCGGCCTCTATTTTTAAAGAGGTTTTCTCTTTAGTATTTCTTGATTGTTCACCAACTTGAGAATAGGAAACCCAAAAGCATATTAGAACCTCTAAATGCATAGAGTGGTTTTTGGGAAATTCTTGGGTTTATCAGAGTTTAGAGAAAAATATTGTCCTTACCTGGAAAGTGAAGATCTGTCAGGAAACCCTTAAACAAAGGTAAAAAGGTGGGTTAAGGCTGGTAGATCTCAACTTGTAGTACAATCATTGACTTAATTCTCTTACTTTCAGAATGGTGCTCCAAAAAGGTTGGGGGCCACCGATACAGTTCTTTAACATTTTAATCCCAAAAGGCTTTGCTTTTTCTGAGAAATGTGACGAAGTGTACTCTTCTCCCAACCTGTAAATGCAGTAACTAAGACCTCCCGACAGTTTGACTATCAATATTCATGAAGGAAAGCAAGTTCTTGATCCATTCTTTCTTTTTTTTTTGGTTTTTTTTTTTTTTTTGGTCTAAATTCTGAATAAGAATTCTGATTTCATTTCTAGTTTTTTTTTTTTTTTTTTTTTTTGAGACTAGAGTTCCGCTTTGTTGCCGGCTACGTGTGAGTGCCGTGCGTCAGCCTCACGGCTCACAGCAACCTCAAACTCCTGGTCCGAGTGATCCTTCTGCCTCAGCCTCCGCGGGTAGCTGGGAAACACGGCATGCGCCCCCATGCCCGGCTAATTTTTTTGATTCTATCAACAGTGGCCAATTAATTCTTTCCTATTTATAGTAGAGACGGGGTCTCGCTCTTGCTCCAGGCTGGTTTGACCTCCTGACCTTGAGGCAATCCGCCCGCCTCGGGCTCCCAAAGCTAGGATTACAGGCGTGAGCCACAGCGCCCGGCCCCAAAGTTCTTGATTCTAGAGCCGTACAACCTACTTCATGTGTCAATGGCAATTAATGCCCAATTCAGCAAGTCTTTATTTGAGTTGCAAGATATTCAAAAATAGGAAGGAAAATAATTGAGATGTTTTCTTATTCATATGCTAGTATATTTAAATCAGTGACATTCTGGTAGTTTTATATAGTACACCTGAACAGGAGCAGCTAATGGTGGTGTGGCTGCCCAGGCTAGAGTGAGTGCCGTGGGTCAGCCTAGCTCACAGCAACCTCAAACTCCTGGGCTCGATGATCTCTCTGCTCAGCCTCCCGAGTAGCTGGGACTACAGGCATTGCGCCACCATGCCCGCTAATTTTTTTATATATATATCAGTTGGCCAATTAATTCTTCCTATTTAATAGTAAGACGGGTGTCTCGCTCTGCCAGGATG